CTTGTTGATTCTGGCAAAGGCCCTATTGTATCAATTATCACTATTTCGAAAGGTTTGATAGGTGTTGGCGTTAAAACAAGGGTTTCTTTTGTTTTTGGTTTGGGCTTGTTTAGTAAGCATTTCTCGCAATTCTTGACAAATTTTGATATGTCGCGGGTCATATTTTTCCAAAAATATTTCGTTCGGATTTTTGCATATAATCTTTTGAGTCCGCAATGTCCTCCACTTATTGGGTCGTTATGGTATATTGTCATAAGTTGGTGTTTCTTTTCTTCGTCGGTCACAGTTTTGACTGGATCCGTCAATATAATTTCTAAGTTCTTTAAAATTTTATTTCCGCGATCTTTTAAGTTCGTAATTGTAAAATATTTGAAAAATAAATCATTTTTTGGCCATTCTAACGTCTTAATATTACAACTGTTGGCTTCGACTTCAAGCCGCGAAAGTAACTCATCGAAATTCGTTTTTTCGTTAACAATCGTAAAATTAAGTAACTCGAGTTTTTTGTGTTTTAAATGTGCACAAACTTGAAAATTTGAAATTTCATTATTTTTATCATATATTATATTTGTTTTTACCCGGGGTATTTTCTTTGAGAAATCATATGAAAATTTGTCATAAATCTGTAATTTAATTTTGTCATTGCATTCACTATCGTACTTTAATTGTGTTCTATTCGTCATTGATCTTGTTTTTACCGCTAGTACTTGTTTGGTTTGGTTTGTTTGGTTGAGTCTTTTAGTTCGCCTATTGTAATCCGTGACAATGTGTCCGCTCCTACATTCGATTTTCCTTTTATATATTCAATTGTAAAGTCGTATTCTGACAGTTCTAAGCGTATTCTAGCAAGCTTTGACGACGGGTCCTTCATGTTAAAGAGATAAACTAAGGGTCGATGGTCAGATTTCACCGTAAAGTGAGTGCCGTAAACATACGGTCGAAACTGCTTGATCGCAAAATATATAGCTAAAAGTTCAAGTTCGATTATCGGTTTATTCTGTTCTGCTTTATTGAAAGATTTTGACGCGAAACATATCGGCAAATCATTTCCGTCATTGTTTTGGCTTAATATAGCACCGCACCCCACTTTCGAGGCATCGACAGTAATAATAAATTGTTTTGTGAAGTCTGGGTATTGAAGCAACTTTGGGGAAATTAACGCTGATTTTAACGATTCAAAAGCATTGTCGCACGCACTGTCCCAAGTAAATTCAACTTTTTTCCTGCCTAATTTATTTAAAGGCGCTGCCAGAGACGCAAAATTTGGTATAAACCGCCTGTAATAATTAGCAAACGCGACGAAACGTCGAACCGCATCTTTATCAGTCGGTTTTGTGTATTTTTTAACAGCTTTTATTTTGGTGTCGTCTGGCAACAGACCTTTGGCTGAGCATTTATGGCCTAGGAACGTAACTTCCGGCCGAAGGAAATTGCATTTATTAGGGTTGAGTTTTAGGTTGAAGTTTCGACAAGTCTCAAAAACTTTTGCTAAATTTTTTATGTGATGTGCTTCACTACATCCAATAACGATTATATCGTCAACGTAAAGAAATGCCCCATTAGGCGGAATACCGGAAAAAGCAATTGTCATCATACGCGAAAATGAATTTGGTGCTACATTTAACCCAAACGGTAATACTTTCCATCTGAATGCTCCACGGTCCGTACTGAAGGAGGTAACGTCACGTGAATCAATATGTAAAGGGATTTGATGAAACCCTGAAAAAAGGTCTAAGGTTGAGAAATATTTCGCCCGTCCGAGGTTATCTAAAATGTCGTCAACTCGAGCGAGAGGGAACTTATCGGCAATCAATTTTTTGTTAACAGCGCGAAAGTCTACGCACATACGGTATGCTTTTTTACCATTAGTATCTTTTTTTGGAACGACAATTAAAGAACTATTATAATTCGAATAACTTTCTTCGATTAATTCATTTTCTAATAACTTGTTAACTTGGCGATTTATTTCTTCACGCTGGGAATATGGTAATCGGTAATTTTTAATGTAAACTGGGTTATTGTCTGTCAAACGTAGTTTTTGTTCGTAAAAGTTATTTAACGTCATTTTGTCGTCGGGAAGTGCAAATATGTCTGCGTAATCTACGCACAAGTTAAGTAATTTGCTTTCAGCGTAACTAGGAATTTGATTTTTCAAAACGTTAATCAGTTCTTTTGTCCGGTTGTCGTCGTTTCTTGTCTTATTTATAGAATAAACATTGAAATTAGAAAGTTTTTCAGTCCGGATGTTACAGTTCTTTACGTATTTTATATCGTTTGTAGTATTTATGACTTTGACGATTGGGTTGCTTGTACTAATTATACATCGTGCTGTGAATACTCCGCTATCGATTTCTTGTGATTCCACAAAAAGTGGTTCTGGTGAACTTCCTAAATTAAAAAGACGAAAAACTTCGCATCTGGGTGGAATTACGCAGGTATCGCTTTCAGTTCCGTGAAGAATCGGAATCGCGACTTTTTTGTTACCTACCCAGAAGGAAATGCAATTGCTTGCGTAGCTGATAACGCATTTATTGAATTTTAAAAAGTCTTTACCTAATATGCCGTCTGCTGGAATATTAAAGTCGTCGTTAACCACATGTAATGTATGTTTTATAAAAAAGTCAGATTTGTCGTTATTTTACCTAGAGTTGAAACGGTGTTTGAAGTGACGCCAGTAATGTTAATTATATCGTTCGTATTTATAGAAAAATGTTTATCAATGCTAGAAATTTTGAACCATTAATTCGCAATTCAATAAAATCAGAGTAATTTAGATTTAGACAGTATATGCCTTTTGTTGAAAAAGAAGTATTTAGTTGTCCATTTCTTCCGCCCTCAGTGTTCGCTCCTGAGGGGCGTGGGCGTTTAACGCGCGCACATTAGCATTACTGCGTGAATGTGGACGTCTATTACTATTATTGTTGCTGTTATTGTTTCGATTGTTGTTTGATGACCGATTCCTATTATTGTTGAAATTGTTACCGGTATGCCTTGAACCGTTATTGCTGTACCTACTGTTATCAGCGTTATTATTGTACCTATTGAAATTTGAGTTGTTTTGTCTGAAATTGTTATTGTTGTACCTATTAAAATTGTGCCCTCTGAAACTACCTCTAAAGCTATTTGGCCTATTTACTCGGAATCGAAACGCTAACACTTGGCGATCTTTCACTTGATTATTTTGTTCGACTATCATTTTTGCTACTACGTCCTTTGAATCACTGAAGGTAGTTGACGATAAAATTGATTTGACCAAATCCGACCGAGTATTGAGTCTACAAACGTTTACTGTTTGCTCGACTGCCATTTCATGAGCCTTAGACTGTGTCATACCTTCAATGATCAAAGAGCGCTCTAAAGCATCCGAAAGCTCCTCGACACGCTTAGCAAATTCCGTATAATTGTTGTTTATGACATGTAAAGATGCAATTTTCCCAGCTACAACTTTCGAGTTGTCTGGCTTTATTCTATTTCTCAACGCATCTTTTATTTGCCTAACTGAACTAACTTCTGTTTCAATTGCTTCACGTGCCTTGCCTTCGAGTTTCGATTTCAAAAATGATATAAGTCGTATTTAAGTTTTCGTCTGCAAAATCTTCAATTAAATTAATTTTGTCTATAAACGATTCAAGTGCTAGCGGATCTCCGTTGTAATTTTCCCTAATGATTGAGGCACAAAGACTAATAAACGATTTTTTCTGTTCAGGGGTAGCCATGTCTAAAAATTCTTGAAAAAATTTAGAAATATTTGGTGAACTGGTGGCTGTTGACGGCTCGTCGGATATTGTTAGCAGATCTTTAAAGGATGGAAGTGAAGTACTTCTTTTAAGACTGAATTGTACCGAAGCTTCTGACTTGGCGTCGCTAAATTCTTCTTCTGACTCAGAGTCAGCTAAGTCTGATTGGCAAATTAGCGATAAGCTATCAGGTGGAATCCTAACGCGACAATTCAGTTTATTAAAGCACTTTGCTAACTGTTCCTTGCAACGAGCTAATTTAACTTGGACTTCTTTGAGATTACAGGTATGGGCCGAACTATTACCAATAACTAGTAATAAAATATTATTGTAAGCTGTGATAAGCGAATATTTGTATTCGTTTAATTTTTTCGCATTCGAAGACAACGGTCTATTTTGTAAAATGCGTTTCGTAATCTTATCAAAATCTGCTTTATATACTTTAAATTGTTTATCGAATTCGCTCATAACCGGCTAATCTCAAAGAAGTGGAAACCCAACATGTACGAAAACAAGCTATCGTTCACCCTGTATAAAAAAATTAAAAAGAAATTGAATTATGAAAAATACTTATGTTTTTCTTCAGTAGGTCATCGGCTGAAAAATCGCATGCAACAAGGGGTTTTCATGCAGTTGGGATATCGGGGAATTTCATGCAGCACACATGCAAAGCAAAAGATTTCAAGTTGTTTGCTTAATTTTTTTTTGTATTTAAAGAAGTTTTAAATTTTGATATATATAGGGGTCGAACACATGTACATCGGTATACGGTTTTGAATCAACTTCCGATAAATTCAGCAAGTTGTATTTTAAAAAAGATAAAGCAAGTAAATAGATGTAATCGAAAAAGATCAAAAAATTGTATTGGGTCACTTAAATCTAGTAATAGTTAATAAGGTGAAAAGTAAAACTGTATTGAATCACTTAAAGCTAGTAATGTTTAATGTTGTTGAGAAGCGTCACTTATATCTAGGTGGATACTTGAAAATTTTAGATTTTATATATTTTTTAAAAAAGTTCATTTCTTTGAAAAGTTGTTGTTGGAAATATTCGTTTAATATTTAATATTTATAGGCTCTATTTGGATTAAAAATTTAAATTTCATGTAATCAAATGAACTACCTTAATGGTAAGTTGGTGTCATATACATATATGTATGTATGTATGTATGTGCATACCCACGAAACTTTTGTAATATTACTTCAACAATTTTTTTGTTAATCAAATAAATCACTTAAAGCTAGAAAAATATAGCAAGAAAAGTACATATGTGCGTAATCGCAAATTTTAATTTAGTTTTATAGATTGAACTTCAAGTCTTTTTTTTTTTGTTAATCAGATAAATCACTTAATCCTAGAAAAATAGAGTAATAGAAGCTTATACACTTCAGAACTTTTAGTTCAATTATGTCAATTCAATTTCGAGAAAAATAAAAAATGTTTGCTTTATTTTATTAATCAAATGAAGCACTTAGGCTAGCAAAATTGTAAATGTTTCGATCATAAATTCGAAAATTTTATTATTATTTTTTTTTAATCAAATGAGGCACTTGGCGCTGAAAAGGAGAAATGGAAATACATATATATATGTATGTATGTATAGGGTTCAATCAAAAATTCGCAAAATTTTTTTGTCAATCAAATAAAGCACTTAAGGCTATCAAAAAGAAAATGGAGGTACATGTACGTATATAAGTACAACCTCGTTTAAATATCAATTCAAATTCAATTTTTATGTTTTAACTAGAAATGCCAATTTGGACAAAAATCTAAAAGCTATCCACTTTATATTAAAAGGATTTATAATAAAAAAGATTCATGTATAAAAATATATATACGTATCCATATGTATGCCTAATAGTTTCACCCGTCTGCATATCTCCCTCGCTGCAGTCTGTACCATGCAAAAATCCGTTGGAAAAATCTGGCGAGTAATGTTGCTACATTTGTGGTTACTATCCCGCGCCGCAGTCTTATTTGGCTGTTACTGTATTTTTCGCTTTCGTCTCCGTTATGTTTGTATACTCCGTTAGCTGCGAGTGGCGTGGCTTGCTGTTGTTTTGCCGTTATGCATACATATGTACATATATAATGGTGGTGGCGTGGCTTGATGTTGTTAGCCGTTATACATACA